TCTTGTTTTGGATCCTCTGAAGCTTTAGGTGGTGGCACTTAGCACAACTTTCCCAGATTGGTATACCATACTCAATAGCCGGCAGAATGATCTGCTTGTGGACAGCAAACTTGACAGACAAGGTGGACTTCCTGTTTATCAAAGGGTAGAGTGACCTGATCAAGATGTTACACTTGGTGGATGTCTTGTCCACATGGGATCGGAATAGCAATTTGCTATCGAGGGTGAGACCAAGGTCGACCATTCAATGGGAGTGCTATCAAGATGGACCTTGACGTTAGCAGGCGGAACAAGCCAAGGTGAATTCGAGTGTGGAAACAGAATGGTTTGTGTTTTAGCTGCATTGATACAAATCGTCCAGCTCTTGAAATAGTCGGACAGAACATCCAGGCCTGATGATAGTTTGCTCGCCAGAGCACGGATCACTCGACCCTTAAAGATGATGGAGGTGTCATCTGTGAACATTGACAGGATACCACCACCCGGCAGGGGGGGAACGTCTGACGTTAAAATGAATTAGAATAGGATAGGCCCAAGCAGGCTATGAGGGACCCCTGCATCAACGTTGAACGTATCAGATGGAACGTTGTTCGCTGGTACACCTGGAATGTAGTTTTTGGTGATCTTCACGAGGTAGATCGGAAAGTTGTAGTATCGATGCAGCTTGTACACTAAACCATCATGCCAGACATTGTCGAACGCCTTCTCAACGTACAACAATGCCATAGCAGATGTTTTTCAAACGGACTTGTTACGCCTGATGATGTTAGTAACTCTACTAAGTTGGTGGATCGTTGAATCACCTTTCCTAAGCCCGAATTGCTACTTGAGTTAAATGTTATTTTCATAGGAGAACTCCAGCAACCGTCTGAGTATCAATTTTTCGAGCTTCGAGATGGAGGGGCAATAGCTTTTGGCACTGGTAGGATCTTTGCCAGGCTTGCGTATTAGAATCACTTTGGCTAACTTCCAGCATGCAGGGAAGTAGCCAAGCTCCAAACATTTGTTGAAGATAACGGTAAGATGGTTGAAGAAGTCAATATTCAAGTTTTTTTAACTCGAGGTTGACTACACCATCCATACCCGCAGCCTTCATGTTTTTAGTGCTTCTAATAGCTGCTATCACCTCATCAGCCGATATTCTACTATCATCATGCATTACTCCGGGGGTGTCAGCGACTCTAGTCATTGCCTCCAGTACGGCAGGCCCATGGGGGCTCACCACGGTTTGGCCAAAATTATGTGAAATCACAAAATGTTGGCCAAGAGCATTGGCCTTTTCAACTGGGGTTATGAGTAGGGATGGGTCCGAGTTCTGATCAACAGAGGAAAGCAGAGGGATCGGTCTCGACTTATTTTTCAAAATTTTGGTCATTTTCCAAAATGGTTCTGCACAAACAAGAGAGCGAATCTTGTTGGCAAAATCGTTATTTCTGAGTTCCACCATCCTGGCCTGTATAATTTTGGTTCGCCTATTGATATTGGTCTTCAAGTGGGGCAGTCCAGAACGCTGGAACTGCCTACGAATGGTGTTACGGAGCCTGATAAGATCTTTGGTTGGGCTGTCAAGGTTCAGACCAGTGTTGGAAAAATCGGAAATCAATTGATATTTTTCCGCTCTCATGCGCTCGCAATATCACGTGTGATATTGGAACAAAATGTCATGCTTGATATTGATTTTACAATCTCCTTTGATATTGCGAGACTATTTGCAACGTGCAAACATCAAGCTGAGAGTTGACTCGGTACAAAAATGATTCCGTTGCACATCGGTTTCTTAGAAACAGAAAGTATAGTTTGCTATCTCTTTTTACTCTTCACCGATGGCAGACACGAAGTGACTGCTGCCAGCCGTTATGGAAGTTTCGGTTGCATTCGGGTGTAAAGCAAAAATCATGAAACTCAATCTCACCACAGTTTGTTGAGATTTGCAGCTGGTGAGTTTTGTTAGCTTGATATTCCGAGCTGCGATATTACAGCTTGCAAAATCAACTTGTTGATTTTCGTCTACGAAAATCAATCGTGATCTTGGGCGTTGGTAAGATTTGATTTTTTGATATTTTCCCAACACTGGTTCAGACTATGACTCACCTGTCTGGATGCTGGTATGTGTTGCTCCCTGGCACGGGATATCGCCTCTTCGATGGTTTCCAGACACTGATCGACCTCTTCGAACAATTCCGGTAGGACGTCGTAATCGATTGCTGTGTCCACACAGCGCTGGTACTTCTGCCAGTTGACACGATTTTATATAATTTCGCCGGGAAACAGAATTCTCGGCTTAAAATGAAAACTATCAAAATTAATTTAACCGAGGTTTCAGATAAATTTTATGCAACAAATAAATTAAATAAAATATTCGGCTGGCATCAACAAGCAATTTCAATTTAATTAAAATAAGCTGGCTCAAAAATATGTCCTTACTCGAACGCGTACAACTTCCAGAGAATAGAAACTTTGCGATGTGTCATTCCATTTCCTGTTGAAAATCATCAATAGACATGTATCAGGACTAGATGTGTATGTATATCATTTATGCTTGCGAAATTAAAGTGAAATCTTGCTGTTCTTCAAGTATTCCTAGAAATTGATCCCGACTTAATTGGACAGTTAAACTGATTTCATCGCAAGTGTCGACGGTCCCGAACCCACGAATATTCTTTCGTTCGTTATGGATATAGTTATGAATGACAGCTGAATTGCTGAATCTTGGTTAACTACCAGTGCTGAAACGAAATCCCGGCCAAATAGATTAGCGAACAAATTGTTATCGTTGGTGCTCGGCATCCAGTGTTGCCAAATTTCGAATAAATGCATGAATTTGCTGAAATTTCAGCTAGAATTGGTACTGACTCTCAGTTGAAGTTGTTTATTTGCTGAATTTTCAGTAAATTAGGTAGATGCCGTGTTAGTTCGGTAATATGCATTGCCGAGCTCGATAATTATTTTTAAGTGTGTATAACATTTTCACTTCGAACCCTCCCTGATGAAACATTGCAATGAACCATACTCAATTATTTTCTTCTAGATTTTAGCTGTCAGCAATTTTGTGTAATAGTGCTTTTTACTACCCTATGTTTTACAAGGACTGACGTGTGAATGTTTGCTGCGTGTTTTTCTTCCGCTGATTTATCAATTTTTAATTTAATGCTGCAATGCTTGTAAAGTGCCGCGAAGCTTTTGAATTAATGTTGGAAAGTGCATAACAGAAACGCGTGTGAATTGTGTGCAAGATGAGTGAGATTCAAAGCTCTTGCCGGGTAGCATGAGCAGCTGGCTTGTGGGGCACAGAGCAGAGGGTTGCCAATATGAATGTTTCGTTCTATTCTGCTAAGTTTCCCGAAATGTTCAGCCCCTGGGGATCGTCAAAAGCCTGGAATATGGGGGTTTGAAAGGTTCATCCATTCAACATGACGGAAAAGGCAAACATTTCAGGTTCATTTCGAGGAATCTATCATTTGATGTTCACCCAAGCAACCATAGGCACGTTATTTCGCCTTTTTGGCTATATGCGAGCCTCATCAGAACATACAAACACTGTTATAGTCGTTGTTCAGCTGTGCTTATGGTTACTTGGGCAGTGCGTACAAAGAATAATTACCAACAAAGGAGAAAATTCGGTAAGATCCTTCCATTGCATCATTTTATGATTCTTCAATATTGTACAAATATTTACACATTACACACAACTACACATAGTAACTCGGAGCGTTTGGTACGGTATGTCCACACATCCTTCCACCCCTGTAGATTCAAGAAATGTTCCCATTCATTTCCAAGAATCATCTTTGCGGCAAATACAACGCAGTAGGCCTGGCCGTATTGATGTTTATATCATATCTCAGATATGCTGTAAACATCAATTAGACAAGAAAAATGATTAGACCTCATCTAACCTAATCATTTTCCAGGATGCTTTCTCGTACTGGCTGCGTTTGTTTTAGATTAGATTAGATTAGATACTACCCTATTTTTTACAAGAAAAAAAAATTTCCCGTTTGAGTAATGTCGGGCATATGATGGAAAGAATAATCAGCCTAATATAAAAAACCAGTAAAAGTGAGCTGTAGCACCAGTAATTAAAAATTATAATTCAACTTTCCATGTTAGCGATTGATTCTAACCGTTTCCACATAACCATGTTCCAATCCGAAAGGCACCCCAACCTACGTCAAAATCTCCCACAAGCCAGCTAATTAATCACATAATTGTCCACCGATCAACATCATCATCATCGTCATGATATCAATCCAACTGAATCGGGCCCGTCGAGTTTGGCGCCGACTTGTCTTTGTCGGAACGGCGGCACCCTCACCGTACTTGCGCTCGTTAATTGCCGCCCAAAAACCTGTTGTGTACCTAATAAACGACCGGACACGTCACGACGTCGAAAACGAGAAGGTGATAATGAGCGCACCCGTTTTGGCCAAACTCGTAAAACCTACCGTCCGTGCGGAGTACCTACCTATAGTACTGTCAGTTGACGGCAATCTACTGAACTAACTTTTTTTTATGGCGATTTTTGCACGCACCAACTACGGTACCTCCTCCTATGGCATGCATGTTTCCCCTACGACCCGAAAAAGTGAAAGATTACTATCTAGTGCTTTTCGACACCTTCACGTCCCGGCGGGGCTGAGGAGTTTTTGCTCGATTGGAACCGACCCAGTAATGCAGGCGGTTTCGAATGGATGTTGGCTTAGTTTTTTTTTTTTTCAGCCGGACATCTAAGGTCAGCTTTCGTTGGACCTTGGATGCTTTATGGTACCCCGAACACTTGTACGCGCACTAGCTGATTGACACCCGATTCATTTATGTTTTTCCGCGTGGTAACGATTTGATTCGTAAATGAACTCGTTCTCGATCCCTATTGTTTGGCGGGTGCATGTGTGTCTCCGAGCGAGAGAATGTCCAGTAGGGTGTCAAATCGTTTGGACTGCAAGTGTCATTGGGCTAACTGCTGAATGGACATTCGATTATATAAATGCGGGATATGGGACAGTAGGTTATCAGTTCAAGCACAGCATTTGAGTAGTTCACTTCAAGCCTCAACCAAATTTAGCACAATGTTCCGACTTGTATGTCAATTATCTAAATATTATCATATAAAGAACTCTTTTATAATTAGCTCTAATTTTATTTCAGTTGATCGTCTCCGCCTTGATCGCCACGAGCTTCGCTCGCAGCCTCTCGGAATCGGAAGCCACAGCCAGCATTCTGTCCTACAATAACGTTCTCCAGGACGATGGTCACTACAACTGGGCATACGAAACCAGCAACGGAATCGCGTTCCATGAAGAAGGACTCGGTGCTCATCAAGCCAACGGTGGATACTCCTACACCGGTCCCGATGGCGTCCAGTACCGTGTGGTGTACGTCGCCGATGAGAATGGATTCCGCCCGGAGGGAGCTCATCTGCCAACTCCACCACCAACCCCAGAACATGTGCTGAAGTCCCTGGAGGAGATCCGTGCCAACCCACCAAAGGACCAGAAGGACTTCAGCATGGAAGCCCTGGATGCCACCATTGCCCGACTGAGACATTAGGCCCTACCAATTTAATCGTCGAATGAACTGTTACTAGTGCAATTGTTATTTACTGTAAGTAGTTGAAATGATCGTTTGGAATTGATTTAAAACAAAAAAGACTCTTCAAATTCAAACCAGAACGTTTCCTTCATTCTCACCACCGACCGCCTTCAAAACCAAACTCGTGCAAACACAATAATTGATTGTGCTAGCAATTATGAGTCTGCATGTCGCCCGTCAAGTTCCGTGATCGGTACATCATTAGGTCGTTCTTGTTCTCACAGCAGTCAATAAACCGCAACGAACCGAACGCACACCCAGCTTACCCTCAACCAACTGCACTACATCATAAAAGTATACCTGTCCCATATGAATACCACATCAAGTAGAGATGGGACAGTTATGCTTTTATGGGCATTGCAGCTCATAGCTCAACTCGTGATGATGCACACTCCTTGCTTTGCACGTCTTTTGAATTGACGCTCCATGTTCGAACTAATTAAGCACAGCACAGTTCCGGCATAAGAGTTGCATATTTTGGCATCCCTCACTCAGCTCGCCCACGCATCACGGTTTTCCCAATGTGTTAAAGAGGTTTTAGAGAAAGAATATTGACAGCTTTCAACTCAACAACATACGTCTGCCCGGGAGTAGTAGGAGTTATTATGTAAGTGGTTTAATGGGTTAAGATTGGCTTGGGCGTGGGATCTACGGGAGTGGATCGATCTGTGGTAACTGACGTGTTTCGTTTCTAAGCATGACGGTGACGATAGACCAGCGAGGCAAAGGAGTAGTGCGAGCGGAGGACCGTTGGTTGCTTGGCAGACCTCTGGTGGAATTATGTTCAAGCTCTAGTTACTTGATCGTGCCACACGACTGATGAGATCGACTCAAAATTGAGTGGTTTTTAACTCAAATCGTAAAAACGTAGGTACTTCATAGACTGGGGAACATTTTCAACGCTTTTTCTTAAAAATCTGCTCGACTATATGGAAAATAGATACACAAAATTACTCAGTCTAGGACAGGGGTGCTCAGCTGAAGGCATATGGCGGGCCGCAAGTTCTACGTAAAGTGCGGGCCACACTCAGAACCGTAGTAAGGGATGGCGAAAACAGCTCCCTTGACTAAAGCAATTCAAACATCTTGACTCAGGACTACGTCTTAAAATTCTAGTTACATGAAAAAAAAAAATCAAAATTCAGACATGTAACGAAAAATCCCAAACACGAACGCAACGATAGAGCGCAAATCGAACAAACGACACATTGCGCATGCTCACATGAGCGAGCTCAATGCTCGGTTGACCGCTCACCATTTCACCAATGAAAAGAAGGGAGGAGAAAAGCAGCGATAATAAAAACGCTTGCCAAATCGTTTTCTTCGTCATAGGTAGGTTATCCATTTATTTAAACTCGATCTCAACAAACCCTTTAAAGGGTATTCTGTAAATTAGTGCTAAACGCAATCGTCATACTAGAATAATCACATTGACTATATGTTTAGTATTACTTCTGCGTGAAGTCAACGATTTACATAGTTGAAGATGCTAATTTCAAATAATAGACAAAGTGGTAATTTTTATACGATAGATGGAGGAGAGAAAGTCTAGAGTTGATAGTTCCGTTAGAGTACGGCAGTGTGAAAATTGCATATAGATAGTAGATAACGAGCTAAGACAACTTTTTAAGGAAGGTACAAATCGGGTTTTTCATCTCACTTTACCAAACCCCCCCTTTGGAGAGGGATGGCCACCACTGGCAAAAAGAGATGAACGCCGAACCGCTCAAGTACCAACGATGTGTTTGAAACAGTTCTACCGATTTTTACCGCACTTCAGTTGTTATTTGAAGGAAGGCATCCAGTCGTAGGTTTGGAAATTGCAGGTATTGTTTACCCCTACCATGACAGGAGCACATACCGCACACACGACGTATGAGTGGAACAGCACGCATCGAACCAATGCGAAGACGATGGACGACGACGGAAGCATATCGACGAAAGCACATCGACCGGAGGAAAGGCTTCCCGCAATAGGAAACATGACTAGGCCACCGTCATCCGGTCGGCATCAACTTGCACTGGTGTCACAACCATTTGAAAAACAACCGGCCCTTTTCAGGGCCACCAATTCAAAAACGGAAAGAGTTAAGAACTAAATGATCAACACTAGCGGCCCTGCGTCAAGCTTCCGTTCATGCTCCTAGGCACAGATCCAGCTACTTTTTTTTTTACGTAGGACTACGCCCTTCGGGAAGGGATCCAGTTCAGGGAAATGTAACGATAATTGGTCAGACTTTAAATGCTAATAACTTGGCCAATAATCAATGGATTTTGATTATATGTACGTCGGTCGATTCACCGGTGTTATAAGATTTGGGTGGTATATCACACATTATAATTGTTAAATATTAAAATAGTAAACCATGAAGGAATATGGCAATATTAAAATTTCCCAGAAATTCATATGAAAATAAACTGCCAGCTCTGCCAGTTACCTCTATGGTTCTACTGTGATCCGTCAAAAGTTCTTGGTAATCAAAAAAGTCAGCTGATTGCAACTGTCTCGTGGTCAGCCTTAAAACTTTAGTGTGCAAGTTGGCAACAGGTTTGCTTTGTTTCAATTCAACGTGTTTGTTTTTGTTTGTAATTTTGACAAAATCATTCGCGATCGCCTTGTCAAATCCAGTTCGCTTTTCAGATACACATGTAGTTGGTTATAAAATCAGGACGTACACACTAATCGAGTCAGTACGGTTTTACCGAGTTTTTGAATTGCGGAACTGTTCGGTAAAAGTTTAAAAATCTGTGGAAAATTTATTAGTATGAAAATTTGTTCTGAACTTTTACATACTTAGTTCTGTTAACCCCATTTAATGATAGAAAATAAATTTGGTCGATTTCATTGATTTCTTACGGATAACGGTCATTTGAATTTTTACCGACTTTTTCAGCAATTCATAAACCCAGTAAAAAAATACTGACACCTGTAAAAAATCTTAGTGTGTAGTTTGTGTTTTATGCATGCCTTAAGAAGACTAATTTTCGAAAACTAACCGAAAAATCAATTTGCCTAATTAAGGCTGTGAACCATTTGCCGAGTTAAATTTAACTCATGGTTAAAAGTGAGATTTCGAAAGTTATTTTCTATGTTCGAAAATCCTTCTGCTGTCGATCGACCGGTTTTCGAGAAGAACTTAGCCAAGGTTGTCAAAATTTAACTTCTTGTTTGTCAGAAATAACCACGCTCGGATAGCAGGGTTAATCGATAACTTTCCATCTGTCAAATTTTAACCAAAAGTTAAATGGTTCAGAGCCTAAACAACGTTATCTATCAGACATCGACGCAAAAGATGGTACTAGTCAGAAAAAAATTGTAGTCACTTCTCTCTAAGTGATCAAAATCAGCTCATAGAAGTGCATCAGTATGAACATAGTCAACGTGTTTCAACGAGGAGTGGAATTAATTGTCAAGTGACGTATGTATTGCTGCTCGTGTAGCATTGCCAAATCTATGCGGCTTACAGAATAAGGCGAAGAAGCGTGGGAGGCCTTCAGCGAAGGAGGTCTCCAAAAAAATGCGCACTTTAAAATTCTGTACGGTTTTTTGTTTGGAAATTTTCAAAGGCAAACGGCATTCGTGTACCCTCCTTGAACGACTCAATAACCTTCTACAGCTTGTACAAGGCGATTCAGTTGTTGCATCTTATCTGATGAAGATGGCTTCGTAACCCTTGCTAACATAAGAGGACGTCCTTCCCGTTGGGTCACAGGTTCATCAACTTCGCATAGTAATAACATTCAATCTGTTGATGACTTGCTCCTAATAACAACCAAATGCAATTTGAGCGCAAGGAAAACATTGCAATGGATCAATGAAAATGCTTAGGTTTTGACAGAAGTATGCTGTGGCTAACACAGTATTCTTACATTTGATCGTCCATATACAGTAGCGTCAAAAGCATGCTGAGGTGGATTCAATACTTGACCATTTAAAATGATCAATTAAGCAGTGCGCTCCAAGGAATGGATATAAAAGTCCCCTCTTATCTTCCCCAAAAGTTTAAAGATATGAACCAGAAGCTCAAGGAGTTCTTTTCAGTTTCACATCTTCCATTCGAATTTGAGCAGACCAGTAAGGAGTCTTCTCCAAGAGTCTTGATGAAATCAGTCATAATATGTTGAACATGAAAGATTTCTATCAAATACCGATCTATTCTATAAGATAGGAGGAGATGGGGGAGAATGGAGGCTACGAAATCTACACAGAAAAAAAATCTGAATTTTAACTATCGCGTAAAATCTCCCTGTGTTTGATTTTGAGCAATACTTTGTAACCATACAGTTACAATGTCCTAGGTTTTAATTTGTGCATGTTGTTTTAGGAAACTGTAGTGTTTGTTTAGTGTCAGTGTTGGGTTAGTAGGATTAGTAGGATTTTAGGTAAAATTGCTGTTATTGAAAAATGTATAAATTTGTCTTAGTAGGTAGTTTGAAAATGATATTTGTTTATAAGCTTAATTGGATGTGACAAAATCGAAAGGGTGTTATAATCAACTATTAAAAAAAAAAAAAACATGAATAGCTAGTAGAGGAAATCGAAGAAGATACCGTGAGAAATAGGCATTTGACGGATAGCAGGAAGTCCAGTACTCCTATTCGCCAAAATCCAAAGGTCGTTAACGCGGATGAGCTGTTTGACCGAATCATACAGCATATGGATATGGTAATTACATCCAAACTCCAGAGCTTGAACATAGTAGCTAGCTCACATAAGAATCATGCGTCGGGAAAGGTGGACAGGTTCAAAAAGAAGGCTGTAGGGAAACCAGAAGTAATAACGGAAAGCAAATCGAAACCGAAAGTAGAAGCAAGAGAACAATCAAAGAAACAGGGTGAAAGTAGGGATGGAAAAGTTAGAACGAAGAAAAAGAGGAAATTGAGTTTAGATTCGTCGGCTGAAGTTAGTGATTGTGACGTAGATAGGGAGTTGGATTGCGAGCGAGTTTCTAGCGAGAGCGCTGAAGACAGCGATGCTGGAAAAACAGTGAAGCGAAGACCAAGACCAGTTTGTGACTGGAAATTGAAGTACG